CCTGCTTTGGCCTCTCAGAGTGCTAGGATTACAGGCGTGAGCCACCGCGCCCGGCCAGTTTTTTGTTGTTTTTAAACAAGGTGGTCTGAATTCTTACTAGTTTAGATACATTGTAGGACACTAGTGCTAGAGAGGTGAAACTTAATGTCTTTTTGACAGTTAGGAGCAATTTGTTAGAATACTGGTTAATGGCTACACAGTGTTTTCTATTTTGGTACTTGGCACAAATGTTAAGTCATACTTGTAATTATCAGACTGAGTTGATGGTTAAGGGTCATTTTATGACTCTAAAAGCTATGCTTAAAAATACTTTTATATCACACTGAGCTGTGTGCCTTACCTGGACTCCAGGGGTCAGCTTCAAGGAGTCTCTGAACCCACTGCAAGTCCTGAGCTCTCCACAGACCTCCAACGGGTCAGTGTCTCACTGCTCTAGATCACTGCTATATTTCTGATAGCCCAGAATTGATTGGAGCACCCCTGGGACCAACCAGAACAGTCTAGATGGTTTTTTCGTTTTGGCTGTTTCACTTATGGAGATACATTACATAGGATTATTCAGATTATCATGGCTTTTCATACCCTTCTGAGTTTAAAATACTCTGTTTCTTTTTGTAAATTGTCTCATAGTAATGCTTTTCACTGTCTTGGGGAAGGTATGCTTTGTCTTTATTGTCTTATTCATTTGAATGAAGAGAATTCAGAGAGCTGCATCTGATAGCTTGTCCTCTAGAGCTTTGGCCTCTGAAAGGAAATTGCCTTGTCATAGATATTCTGTCATCTGTAAATTTTGTTCTTCCAGAAAAAAAGGATAGTGTTGTATATATGCTAGTAAGTCGATTATTTGGGACTGCTGTGTGGTGTGCGTGCGCAAACGACTTAACAGCTTGCTTAAGAATAGCGTTAGCTGGGTCGATGGCTCACGCCTGTAATCCAAGCACTCTGGGAGGCTGAGGTGGGAGGATTGCTTGAACTCAGGAGTTTGAGACCAGCCTGAGCAAGAGTAAGACCATCTCTACTAAAAAAAAAAAAGAAGAAGAAAAAGAAAAATTAGCTGGGCATGGTGGGGTGCACCTGTAGTCCTAGCTACTTGGACCTTGAGAGCTTGTTTGGAGGTTCTAGCAGGGGAGCACAGG